GTCCTGGAGATCTTCGTTGTCGCTGTTGGCTGCCAGTTCCATGTCGGGCTGTAGGTCTCGGGGCAGGCTGAACACGAAGGCGTAGTTCAGGACGTAGCGCTTCAGCTCCTCGGTGGGGAAGCCCCCGGCGTGCTTCCACGCGCATTGCAGCGCCTGGCGCCAGCTGCTCATGTCCGTCGTGCGGAGGTGGCCGACGTACGGGACGGCTTCGGTGGCCTCGTGTGGGTTGCTGGTCCAGGGACAGAAGAGCAGCAGGATCTTCATGATGTGCTCCTCCTCGCTGCGGCTGCCGAGCGCACCGTAGAGGACCGGCACGTGCGGCCGCTTGCGTGGGACGATGACCCAGTCGTGGCGATGCTTCCGCACGCGGTTGCCGTTGCCCAGCGGCATCCAGTTTTCCCCGCCTTGTTCTCGGATCAGGTAGTCCGTGCCGCCCTGCAGAAGTCGACGTCCGAGTTTCTTGCCGAGCTTCTCCTTGCCTTTGTCCGTCAGCAGGGCGTGGTAGGCGATGTCGTTGTCGGCGGCTGCTTCGCGATCAGCGGCGGCGGCCTCCTCCTGCTGCTTTAGGGACCATGGATATCTGGCTGGCTGGATGTGGTAGAACCGAGCGAACTCGAAGGCCGAGAGGGGTTGCACTCTGGGGTCCGTGCCGCGGTTGCCGTAGACGGTCCACAGCTGTGGCTCGGCGACGAGCTTCCTTTTGCTTTTGTTGCCGGGTCTGTCGACCCACCCACTGAGGTCGCTCTGGATCTTTGCGCGCTCTGTCGGCAGCGGCCGGCCTTCGGTGGCGGCTTGCATGAGCTCGAGGCCCATCTGGAGGGACATGTCCGCGAGTGCTGCGGTCTTGATGGTTTCCGCGGCGGTGGGGTCGCTGTGGCCGGCGTTGTCGATGAGGTTGGTGCACTCCACGGAGCCTCGGACCACGCCCCGGGCGAAGGCGTCCGTCATGAGGCGCTTCGAGGCCCTGGCTCCCACGTAGCCGGCGGAGGAGTTGTCCCGCAGTTCTGTCTCCAGGTCCTTGTGGCTCTTGTTCCACTCTTGGACCTCGTTGACCGCGATGGGGTTCCGCTTGTTCTGGTAGTCGCATGCATAGCCCGCCTGCGCCGCTTGGTTCAGCTGGGCCTGGTAGGTCATCTCCCGCAGGCTGCTCTTCGTCGGGCAGTCTCGCGTGCAGCGGCCGGCGGCGTCGTGCAGGTCCTCGGTGATCGGGAAGCGGTAGGGCAGCTGGACGTCGCCGTTGCAGCGCAGGGCGGCCAGCAGCGCGGGGTGGTTGCCGTTGAGGTTCGGGTCGTTGCAAGGCCCCCAGAGACGGCCGAGGGCGCTGCGCTTGCCCTTGACCGGCATGCCCATCTTTTCTGCGAGTCCCTCGCACACGAGTGTCGTGCTGTCCACCAGCTGCTTCTCGCGAGGGAAGCCTGCCTTGCACTTCGTGGGGTCTTTCTTGTCGCGGCAGTGGTCGAGCGGCAGCCGCGGACCGTTCGTCGTCTTGGGGAGGTGCACGTGATGTTGCTTCAGCTGCTGCAGGGCCTCCACGTCCTCGTCGAGATAGAGCCGTCGCCAGGTCGTGGCGTCCGTGGACGCGTCTGTGCTCTGGTAGTGCGGGCGGCTCAGGGCCAGGTAGGAGTCGCGGTAGGCGGGCCACTGCTCCTCCGTTTCCGGGCGCTTCTTCTCCCAGGTTTGCGGGTCCCGGTAGATGGTGCGGCTGACGTGGGCCGTGTAGGTGCAGTACTTCTGGAAGAGTTCTTGCTTGCGTGCGGGACCCAGGGCCTGCAGCTCCGCGAGGGACTTGAACTGGTGGAAGCACTGGAGGAAGAGCTGCACAGGGGGCGGCGGTGGCTTCGGTGTCGCATGGCCTTTCTTTGGTTGTCTCTCATGACTGTGCCGGCGTGCCTGGAAGTGGACGTGCAGCACCCCGGACTTCTGGCTTTCGATGGACCCGAACGCGGCGTCGATGCGGCCGAAGATCCCGCCGCAGGCCATGGCGTTGCTGCCGAAGGCGTCCGCGCAGGGTGTTTTGGACTTGCTGCAATTCGGGCACTGGGGGCAGTAGCGGACGCCGAAGAGGTGACGCAGCGCGAGCTGCACGAGGGTGCGGAAGCCGTCGGCGCAGGCCACGGGATCCTTGGTGAGCATGGCCCGGCGAGCGTCGTAGGGCGGCAGCTCGGCGGCGAGGGCTTCTGGGTTGAGGCTGTAGAACTCCACGTCCAGCTCCGGCTTGCTGCGCCCCTGGGCTCCTCGGGTGGTGGTGTCCTCTGGGCCGAGGCTGGGGTCGGACTGCCGGGCGCGGGCCAGGCGCAGCATCACCGTGCTGTCGCGCTCTGAGGGGGAGAAGGTCACGAAGATCGGGGTGCCGTGGCATATCCGATTGGCGTGGGTTTGGAGGCGCATGGTCTTGCGCACCTCGTGCGTGCCCGGGATGTTTCGACTGCGCGCCTCCGTGTTGTCCAGGACCTGGCACCGCTGTCGGGCTTGCTTTGGGCACTCGTTGTAACCTGGCTCTTGGTAGCTTGCCTGCTCCGAGTGTGGCCTTCTACGGCGCGCGTCACGGCACTTGCTTGCTCTCTACGGGGTTTCAGGCGGCGAAGGATGGGAGGCTTGCACTGCGGGTGGGTCCGTGCTTTATAGGATTTTCTTTGCACGAGCTTCGAGCCTTCAGGGCTGCTTCTGAGAGCCCTGGGACGAAGCGTAGTTTGGTGAGGTCTCCGTTGATGGGCTTCAGCTGGTTGTTGATGTCGAGGTACTGGCCTCTGAGGAGCTTTTGCTGGATCTGCTTTTGCCCCTCCAGGATCTCCTTGGTGGTCAGGGCCCTGCTCTCGTGGTTCTCGTCGGCGACGCTGTAGATGAAGGCGTTCCCCTGGGTGTTCACCATGGTCCTGAAGAGGTAGTTCCAGAGGGTGAAGCCGAAGCTCCAGTCTCGCCTGAATTGGGTTTCTGCCCGGCGCTGCATGGCTGTTGCCCATTCGAAGATCTGCACTTGGGGGGCCTCCGGGTTCTTGTCTCGGCGGCGTCCTTGCGCTGACGCCCGGTTGCCGGCTGTGCTGTTGCTGTTCTGGACGTCCGGACAGGCGGTGCCGTGGGCGAAGCAGAAGCTGAAGGCCGTGGCGAAGTAGAGCGGCTGGAACTGGTCCACCAAGATGTTGCCGGTGCGCACCTCCATGGTCTCGAGGACCTTCTCGTTCTCTTCGTTGCTGCGGAGCTGGGTTTGGAGGTCGTTGAGTGCGGCCGTGGCCACGGCGTTCTGGTCCTCGCGGTCCGTGCTGCAGCCTTCCGGCACGACGGCCCGGGCTCGCTGGTCGGCGAAGATGGCGCCGGCCCGCTGCATGTCCTGCTCCGGCGCGTCCGTCGGGGCGGCGGCCTTCTGCGGCTGCAGCTTGTGGGCGGTCTCGTCGTCCTCGCTCAGGCCGGAAATGATCTTGAGTACTTCCGGCGGCACGCCGCCCTCTGGCAGCTGCGATGCTGCCTCCCGCACATCCGCCATGCGCAGGTGCTGGAACGCGGGATGCCCGAGGCGCTGCATGTCGTGGATGAGGTTCACGACTACGTCTCTCCGCACGGTGGCCTGGTGGAGCAGCGTCTTGACCTCGGTCTCGCTCGTCTTGCCCGTTTTGTTCGTCTTGAGGAGCACCCTCGCGACCTCGGCGAGCGCCTTGCCTGTGCGCGGCAGGCTGGGGGGTGCTGCCGCTCCCGCTTGGTCCTGCTCCCTGGCAACTTCTGCGTGGTGTGCCTCTAGGTTGCGCAGGAGGTCTTCCCATGGGAGGGGAAAGGTGAGGGCGTTGCCGCGCGCGCCCAGGCGGTGACGGGCGTTCTGGGCTTTTTCGTCTAAGGTGGTCCCTTCGCTGCGGTGCCGCGCTTCCATGGACATGCACACCAGGGTCGTCACGCAGGGGCTTGCGCAGATCATTTCCATCACTGTGACCTTCTCTGCGTGCAGGCGCGCCGGGGAGTAGCCTGTCCACATGTCATTGCACAAGCTCAGGGGCGGCAGCTGGCCGTTGTCCAAGTGTTGCGCGCAGTCGCGGCAGAGGGGCACCTCGCAGTGCTCGCAGAGCGTGTGCTGGCTTGGGTGCTGGGGATTGGCGTGGCAGCGGTGGTCTTCTGGGCAGCAGAGTATGTCGCCGAGCCCGGGGATGGTCACGGTCCACTCGTTCAGCTCGGCCACGTCGGTGAGCTTGACGTCCCCGGCGAGGTCGCCGTAGAGCCCCAGGTACTTGTCGATGCTCAGGATGTCGTGCAGACGTTCGGTTGTCTCGGCGTGGGTCCTGTCGTTGCTGGGGGGACCCTGGATGAGCCTGCGCCAGCGGATGGGGCCCGCGGCCTCGGCGTCGGCCACGCGTGTGTGGATGCATGCGCAGCAGAAGCAAATGATCGCTTCCACCCTGTCTTTGCTGGTGGCTTCGGCGAAGCTCCGCAGCGCGCTTCTGTCCCGCGAGCTTCCTGCCACGGGTGCGGCCTCTCTGCACCGCAGGGCTATGGCTTCGTTGTAGACGCTGGCCAGTGCATCGGCCGGGATTGGCTTGGGTAGGTGCTGTGCGACGCTCTGCAGTGCTGTTGCGTGCTCTTGCTGGACGTGCTCTCGAAGCTCTTGCTCGGTGCCCGTAAGCAATGACCAGTTGCAGCTCTGGAAGGCGCAGAACTGTCCTGGCCAGGGTTCCCCACGGTCGAGGTCTTCGGGCTTGGCTCCGGGCGGTATCAGCGGCTGGGCTCGCAGCTGGGTGTGTGCGAGGTGCCGGAGAGCCTCTTCCAGTTTCCGCCGGGGGTGGCTGCTGTCCGGCGCCACGGGCATGCTGGTGAGCTCTTCCAGGAGGTTGGGCTCGTCCTGCGCCTCTGGCTCGGGCGGTCGTGTCGCCGGCTTCGACGGCGTCTTGCGCGCCTGGGCCTGTTGATGGGCCTCCTCTCCGCCGGCGGCGGTTCTTCTGCGCTTGGCTGGGCGCGGAATCGGGTGGTGGTGGTGGTGGTGGTGGTGGTGGTGGCAGTGGTGGTGCTGGTGGCGGTGCTCGGTCTATGGGCACCAGCAGGTCGTAGTGGTCCCTGCCGTTGTACCAGAGATGGATCACTTCCGTGGCGTTCGGTGCTGCGTGCGGCCCGCGTTGGGCTGCTTCGTCCACGTCCGAGTGCGTGCGCTCGCTCGTGAGGATGTCGCCGTTTGGCGTCCGCCAGTGCAAAAGGACTCGCTGCTGCCTCATGCGGGTGAAAGCGATGATGGCCGTGTCGCCGCCCCAGTGACCCGGATCGCTTTGGAGGTATTGGCTTTCCTGTAGCCAGGCCTGCACTTGCTCTTCGTCTTCTTCGGCTTCTGCGTTCTCTCTGAGGTACTGGATGATTAGGGCTCGGAGGCATGCCCCGCTCTCGCCGGTGTTCTCTCCGAGCGCGTGGAAGAGGCAGTTGCCGTCGCCTGACATCTTCTTGATGGCCAGCATGCCCCGAAAGTGCTCCTCTCGGGTGCATTGTCTGCTTGCCTAAAGAGCGCTCTTGACAGTGGATGCTCGAGGGAAAACGCCGGCCTCGACGCTGGGTCCGGGCTCCGTGTCGTGGTCGGAGTCCGTCTCGGCCCCCCCTCGTCGCGCGGCCGGTTCTTCGTGAGATGGTTCAGCGGCATTCCTTGCGAGCTTTGCCGCTTCCACGGCTTCGTTTCTTGGCGGTGTTGCCTCGGCGGCTCTGTCGGCCTGTGCACACAGTGGGACTAGACGCTTGCCGGGAGGTGTTGTGCGCCTTTGGGGTGTAGCTTCTCTCCGGTGCCTCTGCTCGCTGGAAAGCTCGATCCAGGGCTCTCTCGTCGTCGGCCGTCCATCGTGGCTGGCGCGGCAGTGGCTTTTTGGGGGCCTGCAGGTCACGATGCCGCGTACGGCTTGCTTTCTTTTTTCTATGTCTTTTCTCGTGGCACAAGTCCTTACTTGCATTCCGGCCGTGATGCCTTCTTCCGTCGGGGTGTTCTTGGCTTCGCGCCGGAGGGCGGGGTCGTGTCCCGTCGAGGTGCGGTTGTCGGGGAGGTTTTCCAGGCCTCGTGCGTGCATGCCCGTGTGCTCTCCTGGGATTTCTGAGGGCGACGGCACGAGGTGTCAGCGCGCCTCGTCGATCTTGATTGTTCCGCCCTCGGCCGGTGGGTTCGGTGCGCAGTTGCGCGACATACATGCGTGTATACACGGGTTCTCTCTTCGGAGGCTCTGGGGCATGCACGGGCGTCAGAAGTGTCAGGCTGCATCTCCTCGCCAGGTAGTCCTTCTTGAACGCTTCGAACTCCCAGCCGGTCGCCTCGTGGTTCGGTGCGCTGAGGCCGTTGAGGTTTCGGGCGGGGTCGGGCCGTCTGCGCGTGTCGCATGCGATCCCGCCTGATCGTCGTCGTCTGTCATGTCGGCCCACCGTCGGCTGCTTTCGGGCTGCATGATGGCTTCACCTGCACGGGCGGGGGAGCGAACCGTGCCTGCTCTTTCTCTCTTACTGTCGGAAGCAGCTTCGGCCTAGATGGTTCTTCAGGAAGCGGATCTCTGCTTTTGAGGCTCGATCACGAATTGGGCTGCGGTGCCAGGTTAAGGTTGGTGTGCTCTCGCTGCAGGCACGATGTCAGCGTCGTTGGCTTGCTGCTTGCAGCCGACTCTCCTTTTTCGCTTCTGCTGCTGTGGCTGCAAGGCGCGGTGCTCCGATGTAGCCGTAGCCATTCTGTGAAACTGATTTTGGCTGCGGCTCTCACCACCTGCTTCATAAACTGGACGGTGGTGAGGATTGTCAAGTGATTCGCAAGCTCTCCAAGCCGATTTCCTTCGTAAAATGGACGAGGATACAGATTGTCAGGTGGTGGGCGGGCTTTTCAACTGGACTCCGGAGGTCCTCGCGTAGTTGTACCTTGGCATTGGAAGGGAATCAACGTAAAAATAAAGCAAATATGGCCTTGTCTAGTTGCTGTCAAGATGCGACCAAAGCTGTACCTTGGCTGCGGACATGTACATGAAGTCTGATTGCAGCCAAATTGCATTCCAAGGTGGTATACCTTGGCTGTGACGTGATGAATCAATGCATGTGCGGGAAAGTATGATGGTATGATGAAGCGTGAAGGTCTTTGAAGGCACCCCTTACCAGTGATATAGGAGGCTCATCTTGCATCTGCAGGGGCTCTCATCGCGGATGTATCTTCCTTAGGTCTTGGCTGGCAGCTTGGTTTGGAGCGGACCTGACGTACGACATGGAAGGGAAACTGCGAGCTTGCATGCGTGCAATTGCAGCTTAGTGGCCGTTTCTCATTGCCGTCCCTCTGGTAGTGCCTCGGCAGCGGCACAAAAAGGGCGGGATGCCAAGCTGACGTGGACATGTACGTGTCTGATTGCAGCCAAGTTGCATTCCAAGGTGGCATACCTTGGCTGGGACGTGCTGAATGAAAGCGTGTGTGTGAAAATATGATGGTATGATGAAGTGTGAAGGTCTTTGAAGGCACCCCCCAGCATACTTAGCCTGGGATGGCCCAAGAGGTTTTCCTTCTAACGCCCCAATAAGCGAAACAATTCTGCAAGAGGTTTTTTCGTCTAACGCCCCAATAAGCGAAACAATTCTGCAAGAGGTTTTCATTCCTGAAGCCCCAATAAGCGAAACAATTCTGCCAGAGAATTTGGTTCCTAACGCCCCAATAAGCGAAACAATTCTGCCAGAGATTTTCTTTACTAGCGCCCCAATAAGCGAAACAATTCTGCAAGAGGTTTTCCCTCCTAACGCCCCAATAAGCGAAACAATTCTGCAAGAGGTTTTCCTTCCTAACGCCCCAATAAGCGAAGCAATTCTGCCAGACTAACCCTTCAAAACTCACTGAAAGGCTTGTGCGGACTCGAGGTTTGCGTCTAGATTCTAGATGCACGCCATCCCGGCACGAAACTGTGCGGGGTGTTGAGTATGCAGTGGGAGAGTGCTAGTGTGGCGGCTAGCCTTGGTGTGTTTGTGCTTGCGTCATGGGTTACGGTGACCTAATTAACCTGCTGCTGGCAGAGCTCCTGCTGTCTGTGCTGCTCATGGTGCCAAAGCTTGAGTCCAAATTTGCTCTACGGCGAGTGTTTGCGTTGCGGCAGAGAAACCTGACACTGGAAGCTGACGAGTTCAGGAAGAATAGCAGGGGTGTTGCGCGAGACAGTGTTTTGATAGTGGGAGCGTGCACGCATGTGATTGCATCCTGGCGGCTGCTGCGCGTTTCGGCCTTGTTGGCCGTACCTTGGCGTCCAGATCAGATGATTGCTAGCACATTGGAAGCCTAGCATGGACAGATGTGGACATGCACGTGTTTAATTGCAGCCGAGTCGCTTGCACCAAAAATCAGTCCTTGGCTTGGACATGTTCAGTGAATGCATGCGTGGGAAGTATGAGAGTGTGAAGGTCTTCGAAGGCACCCCCCAGCGTACTTAGTACTGGGATGGCCTTATTTTAGGTGCCTTATAAGAGAATGTCCCGCAGCACACGCTCCCTGCTTCCCCGATGTTTCTGGTCGGATTGAAACATCCTTCGCCCATATGTGTTCACCGATTGGAGATAGATCGGATCCCCGGTAGTAACGCGCACCCGCGAGCGAGTACACGCGTTCCCGTTGACAGGCTCAATGGGAAGCCCCCTTGGCCCTTGGCACTGAGGAAAACAAACCGATCCTCGCGCAAAGCGCGTCCGTGGCACACATCCCAAAAGTATGACCGCGGCCTACTTTTGGAATGCTCAAGGAAGGCACCTCGGCTCTTTTTAGGTATTTGGAGGCCGCTTCGCTAGTGAACTGGCGCGTACAGCAGTCGCTGTAGTTCAACGCCATTACTAGCTTCCAAAAGACAGTTAGCATGCTCCCTTGGGGTGCGAGCGGAGGGTCCAAAAGCGCATTGTGTGTACGCGCGCGGGTCGGGGAAATCCTGGTCCCCGGGCGGTCGTAGATTGACGGTGGGTGTCAATTTTGCCCGGCTTCAAGACTGCTTAAAGCCCTTTGAAATAACTTCGGAAGCCACTTAGAACGTTTTAAAACCACTCTGAGCCTTTAAAAACCTCTCAAAACCTGCAAAAACTTGCAACCAGGCCACCCACAACGCCAAAGTGACAATCTCCAGGCCCCAAAGTGACAATCTCCAGGCCCCAAAGTGACAATCGCCAGGCCCCAGGTGACAATCTCCAGGCCCCAAAGTGACAATCGCCAGGCCCCGAGTGACAATCTCCAGGCCCCAAAGTGACAATCGCCAGGCCCCAGGTGACAATCTCCAGGCCCCAAAGTGACAATCGCCAGGCCCCGAGTGACAATCTCCAGGCCCCAAAGGGGTGGCAATCTTAGGGGGTCTAGATTGTCAGAAGGCGGCAATCGTAGGGGGGTACAGATTGCCAACAGGTGGCAATCACAGGGGATCTAGATTGTCAGCAGGTGGCAATCTTAGGGGGGTACAGATTGCCAACAGGTGGCAATCTTAAGGGGGTACAGATTGCCAACAAGTGGCAATCACAGGGGATCTAGATTGTCAGCAGGTGGCAATCTTAGGGGGGGTACAGATTGCCAACAGGTGGCAATCTTAAGGGGGTACAGATTGCCAATAGGTGGCAATCGTGGTGGGGGTTGGTGGAAAGGGGGCGGATGGCTGTCACACTCCCTTGCTGGCCGGTTGCCCCTTTGGATTGTCAGCAGGTGGCAATCTTCAGGGCTTCAGATTGTCAGCTGGTGGCAATCTGGGTGGAGCTTGGTGGAAAGGGGGCGGATGGCTGTCACACTTCACTTTGGCCCTATGCTTCCTTGGATTGTCGGTAGGTGGCAATCCCGAGGGGACCAGATTGTCAGCAGGTGGCACGACAACTAGGACTAACAAAATGGGGCTTTTTTTCTGCACTGGTTCTTGGCTTCTTGGTTTAAGGATGTTGAGCACGACAACCAGGGTTAACAAAATGGGGTGTGTTTTTTTCTGCTCTGGTTCTTGGCTTCTTGTTTTAAGGATGTTGAGCACGACAACTAGGACTAACAAAATGGGGCTTTTTTTCTGCACTGGTTCTTGACTTCTTGTTTTAAGGATGTTGAGCACGACAACCAGGGTTAACAAAATGGGGTGTGTTTTTTTCTGCTCTGGTTCACGGTTTAGGGTTTAGGGTTTAGGGTTTAGGGTTTAGGGTTTAGGGTTTAGGGTTTAGGGTTTAGGGTTTAGGGTTTAGGGTTTATAGAAATTGTATAGGGTTCAGGTCCCGAGTTTTGACCGAGTTTTGACAAAGTTTTTACCGAGTTTTGAGCGGGTTTTTGTTTTTGCTTTGTCATTTTGACTTTGGGAAGTGGCTGGGCTGGGCTGGGCTGGACCCGCTAGGGCTTGGGCATTCGGCTGGCGAAGTGGCTGGGCTGGGCTGGACCAGCTAGGGCTTGGGCATTGTCGGCTGGCTAAGCCCCCGGCTTGAGCTGCGAAGGGGTTGATTGACCGGGCTGGTGCGCTGGGCCCTGGTGCGTAGGGGCTGAGGCGGGTGGGTCTAAAATCTGAAGGCAAGGAGGGTGGCGGGGGTTCAGGTCCCGAGTGGGCTTGGGCATTATTGGCTGGCTGAGCCCTTGATTGACCGGGCTGGGACTGGGGAAGGGGGCTCTGGGCTGGGCTGGGTGCTGCTGTTGCGGGGTTGTGGGCTGCTGGGCTGCTGGGCTGGGCCCTGGTGCGTAGGGGCTGAGACGGTTGGGTCTAAAATCTGAAGGCAAAGAGGGTGGCGGGATTTGGTTCAGCTTGCCTGCGTCATGCGGCTCGCAGGTTACCATGGCGGATTTGCCTACGGGGCTGCATGATCTGAACTGCCCTTGTTTGTTCCTTCGTAAAGTTGTCGGAGAAATGTTGCGACTTTGCATCTACATACATATCATAGAGACTGTGAGAAGTGCAAAGACCATGCAGGGACTTGAGCCAGTGGACACAAATTCTGGCGATCTTCTCCATATCATGGACTCTTCAGCGAGGCGTTTCAGAATCCGAGTCATGCACTGTATTGGTCTTGCGCACTCTGCTTTTCTGCGCCACTTGCCTGTGCTGGTTCCGCAAGTCGAAGCAGTTGTCGTTGGTGAAACATCCGCGCGCGGGGCAGCTGCTGTGTTCCGCGCACCTGGGAACTCGAAGTTTCATATGTGGCGAATGGAATAGGTCGGGTGCTGCTGCAGAGAGTCTTCTAACTCAGCGTGAGAGAGTAGCGCGGGTCGCTCCTGCAGGGAGTCAAGCAGGACGAAATGATTGCTGCTCCAACGCTTCAGCGCTACCCAGTGCCGACCGTTTAGGTTCTGGATGGCTCCGAAGCATTCATCCAAATCCTCTTTGACCAAAGCTCTCTGGTCAGATACTTGCCAGCAGAGACGATTGAACATTTGCATGGATTTGCTCCGCACAGCCATGAAAAGGATCTCGATGGA